AACGAAATCTGTTATAGACAATTCATGTCTTGTATATTAAATATGTGACATTATGGGCTTTATTTTGCGATTTGTGGTGGTGGATCCAATACAATACTGATCCGTACGAAATTCTTAAAAGCATTTTGTAGGTCTTCTTGAACACTCTGGATAATTTGTCTTAATTTCCCATATCCTCCTCCAGCTATCAACTTTGACAGTCGTATTGAAGGCGTTTTAACTAATACGACTGTATTTATAACACCTGCAAATAGAAAGTTTTGAGTAAATTAGATTGTTAAGAAATTAGACTTTTTGTTGTCTTTCATATTAACAAATCATTGAAGATAATCACACTCCATATTCAATGTTTTTGAATTACATTATTTTTTGACCGCTCACTGCACCATTTTAAAACTTTTTTAAATTTAAAATCTTACGTAAGTCAAAGGGGATCTGTAATCGTCCAATTGTCGGGTTGTTTTTCCATTTTGTTGGTAACTGCATCAGTCTTTCTGATACTTTTGTCATGTTCGTGCGTCCGTATAGTAATTGGTTTGAAGGATTGTGTTTGACTGTATGTACCGGTTGGTCTTTGCCGTTGCGAGATATAATATTATATTGAAAATCCTTTATTTAAAAGTCAAATTAACATTACTTAACAAGAACGGGATATCGTTTAGTAAAATTTTGAAGACAATAAATACATTATTTTGATGTCCAGGCATTCCTGAGCTGAGAGAAGCTGAGACAGGAAAAAGTTTACAACATTTTTGCATATCTTTCGGAGGCGTTGATCAAACTTCTTCAATATTTTGAACGTTCAAAACAAATCGCCCGATGATCCTGGAGGGCAAAATGGCACACCATACAGAAACTTTAAAAGTTGGCACAGATTTTAAATCGTCCTGCTTGTAAACATGTACGTTCAAGCCGAAATGAGAATCAACCAGCAATGTTGGTTCCGTTCAGACAAATTTCATGCTACTGCACGTCGCTGAATTAATTTGGTAAGGCCCTGGACAATTTCCGCAGTTTACATGCAGATCAAGATCAGCCGGTAGACTGATCTAACATTTTGAGAGTGCAAGCCTATCATAGCACGGCTACGCTTCAGATTTTCGTACATCGCAAACACGCCGCGTTCGTTCTAGACTCCGCATTACAATACTGACCCTCTCAATAAATCCTGTCTAGCGACAGTGATCATTATACATACCTTGTTCATTTATATGAAAATACTCAATTTCAACTATCAATGAGTACGGAATCTCCTGTGGCAAAAAGTCCAATAATTTTGCTTGAACGGAACTTTGTATAATTTCCTCAGCACTTTTATCCGTCCAGATATTATCTGGAAACATCCATTCGCCTGGCTTCGATTTATCGACAAAGTATTTTTTAACTTCCGGTAATCCATCACCTGAAAATACATGTTTATTACTTTACATCAAGTACATATTCCCAAAATTACTATCGAATAACAAACAGCAATTTACAGGCAATTCGTTCTAAATGTATTAGAATCGTCTTCATGTCGGTATTTATATTAAGATTCTGATTTTGAATCTAAATGACAAATGCATGAGAAATTATGCAACAAGATCGTTGACGATCTTAGAGCAATACTCGCCTGTTAGAGCTGAAACCATGAAAATGTCTTTAAAATAGGGCCACGCCTTGGTTTCTTTCTCAAAGTCAAGTTTAGTTGAATGTTGCTGGTGGCCTGGAATTGGTTTCCCATCAACACAGTTATCAGTGAGTAGTCTGGTAATGTCCAGCAATTTTCGTTTCGATTTAAGAATATCTATCTAAAAGTTTTGTAGTGCGTAATTAGAACATGAAATTGGTTACACGTGTGGAGAAACAATTTTTTGTCGTTCATGAATACACTTTTGTTACACGCTCGATTGGTAAGCTCAGAATGGCAAGCACAACGACGCGGACTTTTCCCTACCCGCCAGCGAATTGATGGAACCTATTTTGGTAAACCGTGTATTCTGAAAAATAAGCAGACTTCCAGCTTCTTTCAATCTTTGCCACGTTCAAAGCTTGCATTGGTAAGTGGAACGACAAAGTTGATATTAGTTTGCCTCTAATATTATGTGAATTTTATGATTAGAAGACTTTTGGAAAGATTCCTGCGTTTCCTGCAAGCACAGTGTACTCGCACATCTAAGCTCTTTCTCGCCTGAAAAAAAGGTGGTCCAATTGCCCTCTATTCTGTCATATGTATCATCAACCACAAGAAATTGTTTATCACACCTGTATGGAATTTTAGCAGACTTTTTTATACTTACTTTATTTAAAATAAGGATACTTTGTTTGTCTTTATTCGATTCTAGTAAATTTATAATTTTTATGTCTAGCCTGTCTCTTGAATGGGAATTGGATACATCATGAATTACTCCCACGATATCTGCTTCTCGTAAAGCACGCCTTGAGTCTTTAAGGAAGCTATTTTCTAAATTAAACCTGGAAAAGTTGAGATAGTATAGCAGTACTAGTAATAGTATAGCAGTACTAAGAATAAGTCCCAGATCATGACTGACTGTGACTGAAGAATGAAGCCCAGCGTCTACTTTTGGTTGTTAATTTAGAAATTTACTTTACATTATGATTCAAGTCGTTAAAACACCATAAACCCACAATATACAAAACCAAATATCTATGGGCTCAGGAAGTTTAGTATAAACGACAACGCTGAATTTATGTAAATATTTTAAATGCTATTTATTCTTAATTTATCGATTTTAAATGGATGGATGGGCCCTTCATCTAGCCAACAGTAATTATCTGACTCAGCATGTTAAAGATATACTCTTTTACATACTTTAGTCATAAGATTTTCTTAGTTTTGCTTTGTGTAAAAATGCGAATTTCGACAACTTTGCACTCACGGAAATTCACTACTTTGAGGAAGCCAGAAAATAGGATTTTCGCTAAAAAATGACACAAAGAAAAGTTGTTGGTAAAGGGATCTCCTATAATGTGAGCATATTATTAACCGCGAACGCGAGGGCCTGATCACCTTCATTGATTATCAAGCAAAGTACTGTTGAGATTACGGGATTCCGTGCATATTTTCCAATATCTTAATAAGATCGCTCTGCTAACCGTTCGGGTATCAATCATGAATACCTCATATTAAACTTATTATGATATTCTTATTTTTCCTGGGTCTCAGTCAAAGTGTGTAGTAAAAATGTTGAAACATCGTTTATTTTATTACGTTTCGGCGAGACATCAGATTTAAAATTTACACAAACTCGTGATTGGTAGAAATCAACGTCCTTTTAGGTCTTTGTCTCTCGCCGAAACGTAATGAAATCAACGATGTTTCAAAATTTTTACTTCACACTTTGACTGAGACCCAGAAAAAATAAGAATATCATAACAAAGCGTGTAGCAGTCAGGAAAATAAATCAGAATTAAACTTATTCAAAATTAAACTTAAAAAAATAATTCACAGTAGTTTTCAAAATATAATTTAAGGAACGTAAAGCGTTTCTAAAAGACAAACCTCAGTTTGCTAAAAGTTTTACGATTTCTGGTGTTCCGCACATTTTCACTTTTACCTTTTCTTCTCATTCTCATTAATTAAGCCGGGAGTATCAAGAAATACAATTTGTGTATCACCGACTGTAATTATTCCCATGGCTGTTGATCTAGTAGTGTGAACTTTTGAGGAAGTTGGACATGCCTACAACACAAGAGCGCACATTTATTGGTAACTAAATGTGTACTTGTAATCTACAACTACCTTTCTATCCATTAACTGATTGATTATTGTACTTTTTCCGGAGTTAGGAACCCCTATAATGCCCACTTTCAAAAGTCTTGTATCGCATTGAAACCGAGGATGCTTTTCAACATTTTCTACGTTTGTACACAGTGACGAGCAACGTTTTACAAACGACACTAAACATTTTGATCTCATTAATTGCGATCCGATTGGCTGTGCGAACATGTTTGATGGAGAAATGATTATTTAAAGAATTCAAATTGGCCACTACTATTTCGTTTAGAAGTTATTTCTGGGTTATGGAGACTATTCCACCTATTCTTAGCTGTCCAAGAATTTCTCAGGCAGTAATGCCAACGCCATAAGCAATGGGTGGAGGCACACTATTCAGCAGCGTTGTAACGCAGAAGGCTGCTGAATAGTCCCTCTCGAATTTTGGAGATATTTTTATACAAAATGTTTATAACAACTCTAAGTGTTTTAGAGATAGGAGTAGCAGACGGAGTTTTTTTAGATGTTAAAATAAAGTGTTTTTGATTCTGTCGAGTTCGACGCTAATAAAAGTTTTTGTAAAATTTTTACAAAGCTATAAATTTGTCTTGTTATTTATCGCCTAACAGTCCTCCAGACCTTCAGTATTTTTCAGTCAAACTCTACAAAATAGAGCGTTTTTGAGTTGAAAGTAAAGCAAAAAAAATTCAGTCAAAACTAAAAAACTACATTTTTTAGCAAATTATTGTCATCATTTTTAAGGGAAAAATTGAGCGTTTAGAACAAAAAGTAACGTGATTTGAAGGCATTTAAAAATATTATTAATAAATGGCCTTAAAAGTAAATCTAAAACAAGTAAGTCATCAACATCAACGCGCCGGTGCGTTGGGTTGGCGCACCGAGCCATTTGCGCAGCACTGCGCTAACTCCTAAAAATTCACTGAGTTACCCAGGCCTACCCGGACATGTATAGTAGCTCAGTATTACAGAATAGACCGAAAATAAGACCCTGTGATTGGCTGACCATGTGACGTCTAAAATTTTTCAAGAGCTAAATCGGATTTTTAAATAGGTACCTATAAAATTTTTCAATTATTAAATCGGAATTTTTAACTATTTCTAAATTTTTTAAATAATCAAATCGGGATTTTTAATTACACGAAAAGTTTTTAATAGCTAAATAGGTATTTTTAATTGCTTCTAAAATTTTTCAATGCATCGGGATCCGTTAGTCTATTACTTACTTAAAGCTTACGTTTATTTGTTAATACTGGCAACCCTGCTTCAGTCTTCAGCAGGTGGTCAACCAGTCCACAGAACACTTCTGAACCGTCATCCGCAATGTCAGTTATGTCATTTCGATTTGCCTTTCATTATTAGTTTGGTAATCTGTGCATTACGCTTTCATTGTAGTTGCTGTAGTTGTTTGATCAGTTGTCAAACAATCCCATGGTGCATGAAGGTTTGCTAAAAAACGTGAATAGGATCATGTAAACTGGATGCATTCGGTTTAGAATCGCCTTCATAATTCTTCCAATCATTGTGCATTTTTTTCGATATTTAAACATCAGCGAAATTTAATTGGACAGCCGTGTTTCACAACTTTAAGCCGCAAGAATGGCGGTTCTCGCGGCAGCACAGCTTCTAGATGAGCTTATGGGGCGACATCGAAATGTTGCTCCAAATGAAAAAGTTAAATCCACGGATTGGGAGGACCCTGAGGTAAGATAACTAATTTAACAACGAATCTTAGGTATGTATTTTCAATAAATCAACTTCAGTTGATTTGCTGTACTTGGTAACCAACCTATTGTTGGCGTGACAATCAACGTTGTTTTTTTTGAAAAATTTTTTAGGCACCAGTTCGATTAAGCCCTAATCCAATGTTTCCTACTTTTGGAAAAAACTAATTATGATTGGGGTGGTGTAACCAGTAATTTAAAAGATGGTTCTTAAAATCAACATTTGCTTTTTGCAGATATACTAATATCTTATCGTATTGAGGACGTTGCTTTAAACCTAATTAAAGCGGCAGAAATCAATACGTTTTTGCTTCGTAAACTACTCTATAAATTTCGTATTATAGTGAGATTATATCTAATAATGAGATTTTATTGTGGTCAGCTATTTGAATTATTTCAAATCGATGTGACTATTTCTCCGCTCATGACATTCTACCTTATGATGCTGATTATTCCTCTCCAATGATCGTTACTAGCAATTAAACTCGATTAAAGTGGTTAAAGCTTCAACTGATTCTTCGAAAAATAATTTGTGGATTCTAAAATTCAATGATATTTTTCTTCAACCAGGCAACACTTTAGACGTACTTTTTTATTTTCTCGCCGTTGAATTTTCGGCTGATACTTAATTTAAAGGTTTTACTTAAAATTGCATTTAAATTTATTTTCGCTTTGCTACTCGAAACTTTTGGTGGTTGTCCAATTAATTAACACACGTTTTTCTTTTACAGTTTTGCAAGTTTTTTATGGTGAAGTTCTGTCCTCATGATCTCTTTGTAAATACACGCGCTGATCTAGGTCCATGCATCAAAACGCATGATGAAGAAGCTAAAAAGCTATTTCAAGATGCGAAAAAAAATCACCACAAAAAAATACAATATCAAGAAGATTTCATTAGATTTTGTTCGTCAATGATAAATGAAGTAGAAAAAAAAATAATAAAAGGCCGACAACGTCTAGCTTTAAGTGGAAAAAACGTGTTGGCTGTTACGAACCCACAACAAGCCGAAAAAAATCAAGAACAAATAAACATCTTAAATGAACGAATAAACGAGTTGGAGAAAGAGGCCGAAGAGGCTGGGACGGATGGAAATGTAGAACAAGCTCAAGGCCTCATGAAGCTCTGCGATCAGCTAAAAGAGGAAAGAGACGCCCTTAAAAAGGCCGAACTAGGACATTTAAATCTTACTGCGCAGTTAGCTGTTGAACAAGAGAAACAAATGGAGGTTTGTGAAGTGTGTGGAGCTTTCCTAATTGTAGGTGATGCGCAACAAAGAATCGACGATCATTTAATGGGGAAACAACATATGGGATATATGCGATTAAAAAAAGCATTAGAAGAGATAATAGAAGTTGTGAAAGAAGCCAAAGAACCGAAAAAGTATATCAGAGATAAAGAAAGAGAGAGATTCAACGATAGAGATACAAGACGGGATAGAGAAAAGGATAAGGTTAACGCACGTGAAAGGGACCGAAGCCGGTCAGAGTTGGGGTAATGTTAGCCCACATTTTTGTCCAATAATCATTACGTCATTTATTTCTCTGATTAGGGAGAAGGATCGACGCATGGACACGGAGCGAAAGAATAAAGAGAGAGACAGGGAACGGGAACAAGTTAGAGATGTGGAGTTGCGGGATGGAAAACGGGAGAGGGATCGCGAACGAGAGAGACGACACCGCTCTGACCGAGAAGGTAATTTTCATCATCATTTGGTATTAGACATGAATGTTCGTAATTTTTTTATAGATCGTCATAGGCACCATCATCACCATCACTCTCACAGGCACCGACACTAATCGTCACCAATCTTGTAGTTGACCAGTAAGACCATCTATACAGGTAGGTGATATTTTATATAAACTGATAATTAATATTCTCTTTCAGGCTCTGAACAGGTTAGTGATTTAATAATTTATAATAAAATTGTTCCCTGCTAATATCTTCGGGTTTATGGCAATGTTTGCATATACACTGATAATCGACTTATTTGATGTTTTTATTCATATAAGTATTATTTCTGAAGGCGAACATTTTTTGCATAGTGTAAATTCGGTGTTTTTATTATAGTTATTATTATTAATTATTAAAGTATATTGATAGTTGAAGTAAAGTAAATTCGAAAAATCGTAACGGAAAACGACAATGAAGAATTTTAAAACGGTTTTTTAAAAATGGAATTAAGTAATTCATTTATTCGCAGATTGCAAATGTTACTTTGACTATATAAGGCAAACATTGCGAACCGTTATTGTGTTTGGTGAGCTGTAGAGAAGTGTTGCAAACAGCTTCATCTGATTAATGATCTCACATGGAACATATGCATTTACTTTTTGTTTCTTAAGTACTTTACATTTTTGACGCGAAAACTCTCATATCAGCCAGTCATGGAAAGAAAGTCACGATAGGTACGAAAATTTAACGTATTTTTGTCATCCAAATAACATAAACGCATACTTTTCATGTCACAAACTAGTTTGCCATGGTAAGATAATTCATCAGATTATGTTTGGTATCGAATTCTGAATCAGTAATTAGTGTAGTGGATAATAAAGTTTAAATAGTTGTTTTATAGCATCTGATATAATGGACATTTTTCTACTTTTTTTTCAATTTTTAAAGTGTTTTTGTTGATTATCCTCACATTTACTACTAAAATCAAGATCAATCAAATTCTTGTTTTCTGGTATGTATGCACATTTCAGGTAGAACGAGCTAAAAACTACAACTTACCTATTTACATATGTTTTATTAATTTATAGTTATGGTTCTGAATATTCCACCATATGGCCCTCTAAATTCGAAATTTTCTATAGGTAAAAGATGAAATTCGACAAAGGGTTAAACCATATTTTAGTTTTGTTTTACTTTTCTTAAGTCATTTTAATCGGATGTTATAAACAATTATCTTAACTGATTATCATTTAAAGTTAAAATAAGGCTCACCATAACACACGCCTGTATGAAGATACTTTAATGACAACAGAACATTTAATTAATTCTCCCAAAGGTATTTTGTAACAAAAACTGTTGGCATATTCGGGTTTATTTAAATCTTGAAAAGGTGGTGCGTGATATAGTGTTCAAAATCACGTATGGTGAACAGGTTTTGTGGTTTATGTCTAACTGATTGTGTGATGTATACCAATTTATTTGCAAACTATCATAGTCGACATGGTCAGTCATTGCCAAAAATGTGTCTTATAAGTTTTCAGCAGTGAAACATCCCAACAATGCTGCAAACAGTTGGCAACACTGTACGCTCAATTTTTTGTACTTTTCTACTTTTGCAATGAGAGGTATTTATAGCTTAAGTTTAAAATTTTAATATTTCAAAGCTGATAGCTCAATATCAACGGGTACCTACCACTCTAGTTGACCCTCATTATGTGTTTCATCGTCAATTGTAAACGAGGTATTTATTCAATAATTTAGCTTTGTCCTGAACGTACTCTTGAAGCCGATTAAGATATGTACCAATCTGACAATAGACAGATCTAGATAAAATCTTGATGATTATTTCGAATCTTGCAACGGAATCTTGGAACAGGAATGCTTTTTGCTACGTTGGTCTTTCACTAAATGTCCTCAGTTAGAGTAGCAGATTGTGCCTGGCGACTAATGTTAATAATTTAAATTGATCTTTCCCTTAGGTTTGTTGATAGTCCTCATTTTTGTAACTAATGTATATATGTATGCTGTATTTTGGTTACCCTCACTAACCCCTAGTAACTTTCAGCTAAAGGAGAATGTATGATGTGTTATGATGAATGATTAGCTGACAGATCTGTCCCTAAGCAAGCAAGTTTAGTGTGTACCTACAAGGACCTTGCAAAATCCATTTGCCCGTCTGTAAAAATATTTCTATTGTATTTTATATTTTTAATCTATTTTACTGACCTTCAATGAGTATTTCTGTAATTTCAGGCTGTTCCCAATTAATACTATTTTTGTGACAATTTGTAGGGATCAAATCACTTTGTTATTATTACTAATATTAACTATATATTGTTAATCTATATAGTTTTCAATGCTCCTATCTCTCATCAAAATTTAGTTACATCATTCTATTCACTTGACGAGAATACCTTATTAAAATCAGCTCAATACCGTTGCTTCATCAATAAAGGTAACAATTCCCAAAGTAATTATATACATACCTGTATTTCGGTGCGGAAACTCATGTAAGTTTTACTCTGGTCTCTGCTTAACTTCGCTTTATAACCTGATTTCACAACATCAGCTTTAAACAGTTTACAACGAAATTTTTTCCCAAAAGTACAATATTGTTGGAACGGTAGAATGTAACCTTTAGGCAAATATAGAGTTACTTTAGAAGTTTGAGATGAAAGAAAACGCGCGAATTCTTTAAATTGTTTTTTATGACTGGGTTAGTGCTTGTTTCTTTTAAACTCACCATGGTCTTAATCTCTCTAACGCTTGTTTTAAAATATGTATAATGCAAGTGTTCTTACGATATCATATGTGTACTTTTTCAAGTAGTACTTATTCGATATAAGCTGGTCTTATGCTGTTGGACATGTTAAGTATATGAAATATACCTAGATTTTGAACTCAAATTCAAAGAATCGAACTTTTTACTGTTGTGAAAAATATTAGCAAATGGGATATCAATTTTTTTCTGATAAATTTAATTCGTGCTGTGTGTCTCCTTTAATGTTTAACCTCTTCTTAACCTTGTCTGGTGGCATTTATACTGCTTCTACTTAGCAACAAAAGTTAGCTTTTTCCATTCAAACTTCCATCAAGTAACTATCCTGGATATTTCGTAACTACATTATTTCCACATGTATTTATTTGTTCTACGGATTTCAGTAATAGTACAGTATAAGGCTTCAAGAGTATTTCAGATATTAAACAGTAGGTAATTTTACCCAAAAGCAGTGGTCCTTCTCTCATGCTTTGGTCTGGCTCTTTGCAGTTAGCAACAGGTGAGCTCACAATTAATCTTGAGAACCGATGTTAGGACTGTGGATGACTTTCCATGGCCACCATATCTGATATATGTCCTCAACTGAAATACTTCCCAGATGCCATTTAACATCATGTAGTTCAGGTGACCTAGCTTGTAAATTTTTTAAATTAGTTCTTTGATTCCCATTGCTGGATAATTGCCTCTCCCCGTTTTGTGACTGTAGGTTTTACAAATTGAAAAATATTACAATTTTGTTTAAACCATTTTGATATTTAATTGCTGTTTAGTATCAAGAGATTTCAACACACGGTCAAACTTTCAGTCACATATGTTTTTAAATGTATAATAAAACTTCTAAGTAGTATTAGTAATTGCCTAATTTCTGTAAATGAACTTCATATCGAAGGATTAAAAAAATAAACGATTTTCGCCAAAAAGTTGTTTTTTAGAGTCCTATATGCTCCGCTTGACAAGAATTAACCCATTGGAAGTTACCATTTACAATAATTCTTCATCCATCTGGGAATCGTAAGACCGAAATACGGAGAAACGCTTTTGCCTGTGGTTAAAATGATACTGATAAATAATAGAAAAACAAAGAAGCGACGCCCTGAAAACAGTAAATTAAGCAGCAATGATTTAAAATTATATTCGCCTGGTTTAGATTGTAGCATTCTTTATGCTCAACCTTTGTTCATCCAGTGTTGTGCTTTGGCGCTTGTTTTTCTCTATCTGGCTGTTCTCAGCCACTTTCTTCCAGCTACAGTCGCTATATGATCGATCCATCTCTTCCGAGGTCTTCCTATGCTTCTTTGTGTTTTAATCATCTATAACATCTTTTCAACTGTTCCGTACCTGTCCTAATGACATCAGATCGTTGATTCGTTATAAGAATCGACAAATAATTTATTTACTGAAGGAAAATGAAATCGTACACTTCAGATTTAGGCTAATGATAAAATAGTACGACCTGATTTCCTAACGGCTAAATTAAACACCATTTTACATATTTTACAGTTGTTTATTTTTACATTTACTAACGATTTTTAAATACTAGTAGCTAATTTACAAACGGTATTAACGAAGAATTCAAGATTTAATTTACAGACAGAAGGCACAGGTTAGAATAGAATCGAACAGCCTAACAAATAAAACTCCAAATGTAAAATGCATATGCCGTGCTTTAAAACGTGCTCGAATCTTTATCCGGACTTGCATAAGTCCCCTGCGAAGCTTGAACATTTTTGAAAAAACTGAAATGATAAGTTAACGCGACAGCATTCTGAGCAGGTCAAGTTTTACTCAATAAACAACTTGCGATTATTTTTTAGTTATAATTTTATTTCCAATACGGAAATAATTTGTTGCTTTTTAAAGTTTTTAAATAAAAAATGTTCACTTTTTACATTCTTTTAAAACCATGTTAAAGGTTTTTAAAATGCAAATCATTCTAGAATTGCAAATGCGAACAAACTACAAAACTGGTTAAAGGCATATTTTTACATTTGGTCTTCAAACAAAACATTGAGAGTTTATAGAAGTAGGCTCTAAAGACTGTTCATCTACATGTAGAATTAGATGCTAGAAATATTGAAAAATATATTTAAATTTTTATTTCAATAAATAAAACATTCTGTACAATTGCTATTCGTACGAAGCAGTATTTAGACGCTATAATAAAAGGTAAGGGGGAGTAAAAATATCACAGACAAGACATTGAAACGATTTGATTTGACTATATCGTACGCCATTACACTACATTTACTGTCTCGGCTACAAAATTACCGAATTGTAAATTATTTTTTAATGGCCCGAATTTCCAATCTTAAAAAATATATTTTGACTAATACAAATATATTTTCACTTACGCAAACTCAAACAAAATATTTTTTCTTTTAATATAGACCGAACAAAAATATATTTCGTGCGTTTATGTCACATTATGTTTAAGGAATGAGTTGTTTGCTTAATTGTATTAATACTAATTTACAACAATGCCCATAGTTGCCAATGCCATTAGTTATAGGAAGACATGGACATAAATGTATCTTTTTGTTCTAAGAATCTCAATAGTTAGAGCAACTATATTTGCTGTATGCTATTAATATTTTCTGAGCTGTTTTCCTTAACATAATATAATTATTAGACAATGTTACCTAAACAATCATAAAATTCTTTTTCTGTTTCGAATCATTACTTTTTTGTTAATATAGGAGATTAAGTTCTGCCCAACATGTGCTACATTATTATACAATCATCACTAAATAGCTAATTCAAGCTACTTGCATTCACCTAGTTCTATGTAATTAGGGTTCAGTTAGATTGTCAGTTTTAAATTCATTTTAATCGCTACATTTTCTTCACCTTATATACTGTGTATCTATCTAACATTTTTTAGAGAATTAACCCTGTAAAGTTTTGCGCTTTATAATTAACTTTTAAACTGTTAATATACTCAGCAATATTAATTCATAGTACTTTAATATTGTGAGTATACGAAACTAAGTTATTAGAGTAATTTACTCTACGTTTTTATCTATCTAATAGCATACACATTTTAACTATTCGTTTTTAAGTAATCTTGTTATCAACAATCCTACGTTAACGGGTTGCTGCTTAACACTTTATAATAATATTCACTGTAGATATAAACATCTGGGTTTAAAGTTTTAATACAACAAAAATTTGATGGACTTAAAATTCGATGTTGCAGAAAGTGGAAAATATTTGTATTTTTGAAGTTTGCAGCTAATCGACACATGTTGATTGCAGATGTTTAGTATCGAAATAATGGGTTTGCAACACTTTGCTGTTGATCCTATCACCCGTACCGTATGAAAGGAATAATTGTCAAGAATAATTATGGTGGAAATGAAATTTATATTTATATTTTATCGAACTTTTTTACTGCATGATCTTAAATATTTCGTAATAAAAGTTCTTACCCGAATGCCTGTTGGAAACCGTGGAAATATTGTCAGAAATTTCTCCTTTTCATTTTATAATTTATCTTATAACAGAAATTTTATTTGATTTCTATTCTATATCAATTCTCATTACGCTGGAAAATATAAATAAGTTTCATAATGGAAACTTTAGAACCTTTAACTATCTAATTTATGTCAATCAGAATAATGCATTGATCTCAAATAGCTTTAGGAACTTCACGCGTAACAATTCTCTAGGACAGCGATATTGTGAATGAACTCATTCTAAATCCCGTAATAATTATAGCATTATTTTTTATTTTTTACATAGTTATATACTGAGCCTGACTTTTGAATATGACATAGAAAAAGTTCTCCTAACGCTTTTTGTACAATTGCTATACATACTCGTAAAACTATCCTATTATCCTAGATAATACATAGAAATGCAAAGATTTTGCGATATCTTATTCGTAGTTTCTGTTGACTTCATTGATGTTGCAGCCTGATTAGAATAATCAAATGTACCCATACGGTGTTGTCATAGAAAATAATTAGATAGATAGTGTGATTAGTATTAATTTTTAAACTGTTCATATGTTGAAGGAATTTTTTTGGCAAAAAATGCAGTTTGTGAATATTTCAAATAACTGCAACCGTATTTGCTATTATGTAAGATTGGAAATATCAAGGATCGTTTTCTTGGACATAAAATTTGGACACCCGATAGTTATTTAACTACTATTTGACTCTTAGTGCACATCTGAAAAAGTGAACAGTTTGTTAGAAAGCAATTTTTCCCTAGATATTAGTTAATTATAAAAAGAACTTCATATAAGTATGGTATTAAGAGGATTCCTTTTTAGAATCGTTTTGACTATCCTGCACTAAATGTTCCTCACTATCATGCGATATATCAAATATATCGAATTTATCAAGCTCTTTGAGCGTTTCATCCAACTGTCTTCGTTCAGTTATTATTCGTTGCACACTTTCTTGGCTATCATGCCTCGGAGGTTTGAAACATTCACTTCTATCTCTTTTTTCACTAGTAAACTTACTGCTCGCCGGGTTTAAACTGCCCCCACCTGGAGGTGTAAGGAATGGAGTTTCCTCATAAAGGTCCATAGAAACTTGTTTCTGGAAAAGATGCTTTGTACTTCCGTATAATCTGTTGATTGGCTTAGTTTCCTGGGGTACTAACAGTCTGCTGATGTTATGTTCTTGGATTTCGTTTACGGTTTTTAGATAGTTTTGAGGGCTATCAATATTGGAGACTCTCAGCTGGTGTGTAACTGACGATTCCATAGGTGGAATAGTTAAAATTTCGTCCAAGTTTAGCCTAGTGGATTCCCGAATCGCGTCTTTCCTATCGGGAGGCGATTCATCGCAACACGCCACTTCTTGTATACTGTATATATCAGTAATGGAATCGTCTATATTTTTTATGTCTGATATGTTGGACATCATTATTGGAAGTTGACTGTGCAGAGTCTGGCGACGACTTTGAGATGGCTGTCTTTCCAAGATTACTTTTGTGCCGCAACCGGGAGGGTTGAAAACGAAATTCGATGGCAAGGAAAGAACCTAAAACAAAAGCTTCAATCAATTCGTATTGCTGAATCCAAGCTCTTTATAAGCGCTCCGTTCTTTCGAACAGCTGTCTAGTATAAAGCTAAAGCATTATCTACAATTAAACTGGAAGCAAAGGCGCCTTTATGTTGCAGTATCCACCTTTTTGGAAAGCTTCTAATACAGATGCAGGTGGTTTCTAGTTAATTAAATCGAATCAACCTACCTTCAAAGAAAAATGATGGCCTTTAAGTTAAATATACAAATGTAAAACTATTAATAAGTAAGGTAACTCTGTAGTCCATGCCTTAACAGGGATAACACTGTAAATAAATCATAAATCATTAGAGATATAGGTCAGGAATAGTACTATCTTTTAACTCGATTCTCTTGTTTGAGATGCATGGGTACCACCTAGCTAAAGTTTTGCAATTTCTTGCAAGTTCGTTTCTTGCAACATCATTGATATTGACGTAATAATCAAGTTTGTACTTAATTGTAAAATCTTTTTATTTCAAGGTATATTTCTTGACCTGCGGTTTTCTGATAATTTTATAAAAATCGTTAATATGCAAGCCTAGAGAGTTCGAGGAGTTTTTCATTGGAGTTGATAGACCCACTAAAAATTATATTTAAAAATGCCATTAGCAGCAACTCAAGCTTAGAGATTCTAAGTGACAAGATGGATGATAAATTAGAGGCAAACTAACAGTTAAAGGAGTTAACACAGAGATGGCAAGAATGGCCACACAGAAGCCAAAGAATTGTAAAATAGACAGGATCGATAATTTTCTAGTTGTGAAGATTTAGAAGAAGTAGACATGGAGTAAACTGAAATAAGTTCGTTGTGTTATGTTGCGTAAAACATTCGGTGCGGCAAGGGTTTTAAAATGTAAGATATCATGTTCTCAGATATTTTCCAATGTGCGCTCAGCCAGGAAAATTAAGAAAAAATAACGACCCTGACTGCATTCTTTTCATCTCCAGGATCAAATAAATCAATGGGTGTTCAACCGAACAATGTGAGACTTTTTGAGGAGCGTCCGCACATAATTCCGAATTATGTTCGTAAAACGAGTGCGGAGATTTAAAAAGCGAGTGCGAGCGCCTAACCGCGAAAGGCTTGATGTGGCTTTACTAGTGAAAACATTAGTGTTCTCTTAAGAGAAGTCGGCAGGCTTCTCTTGCGAAGCGAATATGTGTACGTGTGTGTCGATTTTTCTATAAAAAAAACCTCCGAAAGCAAATAATCGAACCCTTAGGTACGTATTTGGCTGACGTGATAAGGCCAATTGGAATCAATTCTCTAGATGAACTTTGATTTAGAGGCGGAATTAATTTGTCTTCGAGTGGTCGAGGTTTCCAGTGGATGGATACTTGGAAATACATTTCCGGGAGTTTTTCGTGCGAGTGTCTGAGCGAAAACGAGTGATTTTTGTTATCAGTTGAACTTTAAGTGTCTAGAATCAGCGAAAGCATTTTGTGATTCTTCTAAAAGCGATTCTGAATCTAAACGAGCTTGATTTTGAATTTTCCGGTGGAAATTCAAGGCTTAAGGTTCGATGGTTCGATCTCTGAACTGGGCAAGGGCGGATCCACTTTTGTGAGAAAACTACTATTTCTTTATCGATCGTTCATTTTCTAGAAAGGTCATTTAGTTCTCCCTGGAATTATGCAAAACTGAGCGTTCTTGCTCATTTTCCTTCCGAGAAATGAGGCAAAATGGGACGGAAAACATGAAATTTTGGCCTAATCTTGCACCTAAATGTCGGATATTMAAATTTCRCTGCCTGGGTCAAAACTACTCCAGGTTGCTCACTCACGTTCTTATGACTGAATTGAATTTTCAATTATCTATTCAACGATACCAAAACGCATTATGTGGCTCAAATTGTTCTTGATAAACTTCTAGAAAAGCAGCGTCATGTTTGAGTCGATTTCGTAACTCAAAAAAAAACAACGCAAATCCAAAACTTCTTGAAATCAAGCGTTTTTTGAGAAAATTGCCGACATTTTCTTATCGATGGTACACTTTCTAAAAAGGCCATTTAGTTCTCTCTGGCATGATGTAAAAATTAGTGTTACTGCTCATTTTGCTTCCGAGAAATGAGCAAAAACGGAACGGAAAACATGAAATGTTGGCATAATCTGGCACCTAAGTGTCTGATGTTAAAATTTTGCCTTCTGGGTCAAAACTACTCGAATTTCCGCAGTCTCGTTCACATGACTGAATCGAATTTTCAATTCTCTATCCAACGATGCCAAAACGAATTCTGTGGCTCAAATGGTTCTTGAGAGAATTCGAAAAATGAAGCATAATGTCCCAAAAAACCACGCAAATCTAAAACTTCCTAAACTGAAAACTTTTTGGAGAAAAACGATTGTAGTTTGTACTCTCTAATTGCTTATTTATCTAAGGCGAATAATATTAAATAAATTGAAGACATCTGAAAGTAATAAAATTAGTTGGAAAGCATTCAAAAACAGACACAATTAATTTAGCATAGACCAAAACTTACTTTGTGGAGTCTTGTCTGTTGCTCCGTATGGCATTCTTGTGCATCTAGCTGAAGGGCCAGGCAGAGTTCCCGCCTTTCATTTTGCTCTTGCTTTTCCTGAAACTCTCTCTCGAGTTGAATGTCCATATCCTGTTCGTCTTCGAGGTGTTTGTGCGATTCTTCCAGATGTTTCATCAAAACCGCTACCACCACATTGACCAGCACGAACTGGGCCATCAGCACAAAAATAACAAAGAATATCGGAGCAATAATCGGAGATATGCAGCAGTTCTTGATGCAATCATCAGTGGAATCACAGTTCTCGTTATACAGGGTGTCTTTCATGATACCGTTCCAATTGTCCCCGGTTGCAACGCGGAAAAGGGTGAGGAAAGCCATGCCGAAATTTTCGAAATGGGCGTGTTCTCCTAAACCTTGGCAAGGGGTGACCTTGCAATCTAGCCGGCCAAATAATTCGACACCCAGGGCCGCGAAAATGAAGAAAAGAAGGAAGAATAGTAGCCCTAGATTGCCGACTTGAGGAAGAGCTTGCATGACCGTGTCTAGAAGTGCACGGATACCCTTCGCCATTTTTAGGAGCTTGAGAACCCGAGCTATCCGCATCACTCGCAACACCTGCAATGTGAGAAAGTATAATAAGCACAGGGAAATCGGATTTTGACAATGATGTGGCAAACGGCTTTATTGCTAATTCCAAAACAAAAAAAAACAAGATACTTACACGAATAATTGTGGGATTGATGGGAATAATCTTCATTTCGTTTTCCTTCATTTCTTCAATGATAATCCCAAATACCGAGAGAATCACAATCCCGACGTCCAAAATATTCCATTTGTCCTTTATGTACATTCGAAAACCTAACGCGATCAGCTTCATAATGCTTTCCAGAATAAAAACGGCGGTAAAAAAGTAGTTGAATATACGCAACAAGTATTCCCAAATGGTCGGCATCCGGTAGCTTTCGGTAGCCATTGTAACAACATTTAATCCTATCACAGCCGCAATGGCGAGGTCGAAGTACTTAGATGTGACTATTTTGTGGATAAACAACCTCCACGGAGGGTAGTTTATGTAGTATGGAGGTTCGTTCATTTCTAGAAAAAATACAGAAATTATTTAGAAAGCAAAAATCAGCTTTCAGTCTCATGTTAACTTTCGCTATACTATGTTTTCATATAGATATATACAGAGAAGAATTATTGAGGGATAAAACATTAGCCTTGATTGAGCTAATTGTTTTCCTCATAAATAAAATGTTTATTAAGGATTCACGATGCAGATATAAGAATTTTAACCACACATACCAAGAGCGAAGAAAAGGAGCATTGACTTCAAAAAATTTAATCTAAATATTTCGTCGTTATTAGTAGAGTAGCGGAATGTTTTGGATTCATCGCAGTACCGTCTGCAAAACAGGTCATAGTTTTGTAGCTGCTAATAATGCGCAAATTTTACATCACGTYTTTGGTTCTTATTTGGAAATTGCTGGATATTTTAGGATTCMTAGGGAGACCGTCAGGTGRATTCTAAGTKCTTGAATATACAAGTTAAMTTGAACAGTGATTTTTCCGATTTTTAAATGATTATGCGGATTTGATACCTTTTATTCTGTCTTTATTTCACAATTTTACMGCGCTAATRAATTTCACTCCATTACTATAATATTACATTTWAAATTATTTTATWTTTCGTTAAGTTGTTAATTCCGCTACAAATTGAACCACCAGTTCTCTTTGTAACAATTGTCGTTAATTAGTTATGTAGACTTGATTACTTTAAAGTTGATTCTAGCTTGTTACTATCCAAGCACAGTCGCTCATCAGTTTTCAAAAGTATAGAAGAATTTTATTAGTATTCCACACGGATAACGAGCAATGAAAAATCTTCCTTTTCTTTCCAATATAAATTAGTTTTAAATGAGTTTATGCATTCCGATATTTAATCTGCGTCAAACTGGACTACGAATGAAGGTTGACTAGTCAAGTTAATTTTCTTGTTTTTTGTTTAATTTTAGTCCGTTTTCTCGTTAGTTCGTTCTTTGCCATTTTAACCATTCTGGCCACTATTTAACATGTTATATCCGGTGCCGTTGGGGAAGTTTGCTTGGAGTTTGACGAGCATTCTTTTTATTTTTAAGAACATTTTTATAAATGTTATACTGTTATAAATGTTACTTATGTAAATACTTCAAAAAAATTAACAACGTTTTAGTTTTTTTATTTTTCGTTAAGTTGTTAGTTCCCCTACAAATKGAACAACCAGTTCTCTTTGTAACAATTGTCGTWAATTAGTTATGTAGACTTGATTACTTTAAAGTTGATTCTAAGCTTGTTCCTATCCAAGCACAGTCGCTCATCAGTTTTCAAAAGTATAGAAGAATTTTATTAGAATTCCACACGGATAAAGAGCAATGAAAAATCTTCCTTTTCTTCCCAATATAAATTAGTTTTAAATGAGTTTATGCATTCCGATATTTAATCTGCGTCAGACTGGACTACGAATGAAGGTTGACTAGTCAAGTTAATTCTCCTGTTTTTTGTTTAATTTTAGTCCGTTTCCTCGTTAGTTCGTTCTTTGCCATTTTAACCATTCTGGCCACTATTTAACATGTTATATCCGGTGCCGTTGGAGAAGTTTGCTTCGAGTTTGACGAGTATTCTTTTTATTTTTAAGAACATTTTTATAAATGTTATACTGTTATAAATGTTACTTATGTAAATAGTTAAAAAAAATTAAAAACGTTTTCCTGCATTTAACTTCAGTAAAAATAAATAGTGTTTTGCCTAAAATAAAGTATTTGCTTTTGGTGCCTAGTCTAGACTTTACTGAATAGCACCTACTTTAAGTGTTAGGCAATTTTATCCGCCATGAGAGTTGCTTGTTGTTGCAACTGATTAACGTAAATATTAGCTGAGATTCACAGGAACGTTTGTAGTCAATATGAGACTCAAGTGTGCTTATAGTAGTTACATGTTAACTGCAGAAAGGCAAAACTTACTTCGTCTCCGTTTCTCCAGCTGCAAAGCCCGCTTCGCTGCCCTTCTGATCCTCTCCTCCTTTTCCTGCTCTTCCCTGCACCTGTGGAAATTTTCTACCACTACCCCTACGAACATATTAAGAACAAAAAATCCGACTAACAGAATAAAGGATATGAAATAAAGCAGGCGCCATTCGTTAAAGTTTGTGATCGGTTGTTTGTCGACCTCCACGGCATCCAATCCTGTATACATAATGTTGACCCAGCCGTCTCGGGAGCTCAAAACGAACAACGACATCAGAGCTTGCACCAAGTCGTCGAAGTTATACTTTTCGTTTTTCCAGTCATAACCCCGACCGATGCAATCGGTTTTATCTATTACGGTAGTGATGTTTTCGCCGATGCAGTGGTAGAATTTTCCTTTGAAAAGCTGGACTCCCAGAATACCGAATATGATAAAAAACGTGCAACAAATTAGGACGATGTTGCCGATAGGTCGCAGGGAAGACAGCAGTGTTTGGACGACGAGCTTCAGCCCGGGCGCTCGATTGATTACCCGTAGGGGTCGAAGGGACCTCAGTAAACGGAACACCTGAAACCATTAGAAAATTATCACATACCTACTGTACTTCTAATTCTTGCGATTTGTGAATTGTCTATGAACATGTAATGCTTGATGAGCACAGGTCATTTCCTGAACGTTCGTGAAAAAAATTATTATAAAATTATAACATGGGGTTCTTTGGAAAATCGAATGAATTATTTTTCAGATCATTGAACTCACCCTGAGGATGCCAAAGATCCGAGATGTTGTGTCGTTGATGAGGAACATTATAATATCGATTACAGAAATTATCACTAAGGCACCGTCCATAATGTTCCATCCGGATGTAAAGTAGGCATTTGGACCATAACACATACCAGCAGCTACAACCTGAAATTTGAACACACATATGCTGGTTTCAACCCATTTTGACTAACTCCATTTATTTATCTTCTTGCTAAAGAGCTGTATATTGTACTGTACTCATAAACTATTATATCAGGTATTAATAAAATTGTAATTTTTTATTTAGAATTGCATCTATTCTGCGGGTGATGCTTCCTCTGAGCGTTAGAAGTTTCTGTATATACTATCTGAACCAGTTAGAACTTAGTCAATCTATGATCTGAACTATTCAATTATGAATGAATCTGATCTATTCAGTTAAATAGAAATTTTATTTCAATTGAAAATTGCCTCAGTGTTCAATAAATACACTATTTCACAAGTTATGTGTATTTTGAGGCTTGGAAAAACGGTGATTTTATTTTGAAATTCTACATCTTGCATCTCATATTAGAGAATTAAAGCTGTTTAAATGTATCAGACTATGAAGGCTTTCACGGCCGGTTAAATCACATTTAGGAATGTTGGTCCTTCTAAGACATCTTAGAAGTCTTAGTCGGAAAGCACGGGAGATCACTTCGCCCACTGCCTCATCGCCTTTGATAATGTCCACCGCAGTTGTGGACGAAACGTCAGGAAGAAATTCCCATAGACCACGGCTTCAAAGCCCAGAAAACATTCCTAAATGTGTTTAAATGTATTTCGAATGTTTCATGTTGCTATACATAAGTCTCGATTGACATCATCATAGATTTTTAAAAATAATCTAAAATTGTAAAATCTTATAGAATTATAGTATAATCATGTAATGTAAATCTATAAATATATATTTTGCTAAAAATCGTTCTATATGAGAGGCGCGTCTTATCGTTCGGTGCTAATTTTAAAGTCCGAAATCCGAAAGGTACGTATCTCCAGTACACGGTTATAGAAAAATTTTTCTCCAAGTTTTCTGTCTAGGCAATATTGTTAGTCAATTCGATTAGCTTCTTCTTCTGCTTTATTTTTATTTTTTTGTTTTTGTACAGTTGCACTGTACGTATAGTATTTGATTAATTTAGTTGATTACGGACCAGGGGCGGATCCAGCTTTAAATTCA